ATGCAGGCCACGCACCACGACCCGCCGCCGCGGCCGGACGAAGGAGAAACCCAGTCCGGCAGGGGTGGCGGCCGGCTCCCCCACTTAAGGCCGAGACCCGTTAACGCAGGTGGGTCCGCGCCTCGGTTCCCGCGCCCGCAATTTACACTCGCCCAGGACCTGGTGGCCCACGCGCGCCCCCGTGTGGCCGGCCCGCCGGCTCCGCTCCCGGGGACAAGCGATTGAGGACCGCAAGGCCCTAGCGGTCCCGCCCGGGCAGAAGAGCGGCGTGAGCCCCGCGGCGAGAACGCGAACAGCCACAGGCGCCCTGCACGCACCCACCTCCAGGGCCGAGGCCAGCCTCCGGATGGCCTCTGTTCTCAGAAGACCCCACGAGCCACGGTACCATCCTCATCTGTAAAACAGGGAACTCCCGATGGTGAGCCCCGCGGCGGGAAGTAATTCAAGCTCACTTCTCGGAGATACAAGTTCAAGCGCAAGGGAGGGAAGAGGGAACCCGGAAAGGCCAGAGTGACGGGCGGGGAGGACCGTACGCAGTGATCTGGGGAGAAGTCACATCAGACCCTCCAGGGGGACAGGGCCACCAAATAACTCACCCCTTCCAGGGTGACAGCAAGAGCGAAGGACCTCCATTTTCTTCTGTATTTTTAAACCAACAAGGGAGAGACAGGTGACTGAAAACTTGTAAACCTCCTGGTTGGGCAACTCAGCTACAGCAGCAAAAGAGCCCTGGAGGGTCTGTGCCGAGGGAGGGCGACAACATAAAGGGACCACACCCAAGCGGAGAGAAGAACATGAGACCACAGAAAAGGCCAGCAGACGCTCACCTGCGGCCGGAGCCTGCGAACAGAAACGCCTCTTTCCAAAGCCACGGCCAGGGGAAGCTTCAGCCACCCGGAACTAGAGGAAAAACAGCGCTCCCAAACACCAGACCCCACTCTGACCACGCTGACAGCTGCTCTCCCGCGGGGGCGGCAGCTCCGCCTGAGCTGATGGCCGTCAGGTGCGGCCCTGAGCGAGGCTGGGGCACACTGTGCTCTGAGTGCAGAACACACACCTGATTCCAAAGCCTCGATGAGAAGAAAAGAACAGAAAATATCCTATTAATAGTTGATACAGTGTTACATGCTGAAGAGATAAAGTTTTGGTAAAAAGTGTATTGTTAACATTAATTTTGCCCATTTCTTTTTACCTTTCTAATGTGCTACTTAGGAAATTTAAAATTACCCACGAGGCTCAAATTCTGGCTGGCGCTGCATTTCCTTGAGGCAGAGCTTTGATGTGGCCCAGGCCAAGGCCAGCCCAGTCCAGGCTTATCTGCCCCACGACACCGTGTCACCCTGACAGCCCTGGGCTGTATGTAGCTTCAGAGAAAAATCAACCAACCCGCCCCATTGGAGGGTGCAAGGCTCCCTGAGGGTGGTGGGGTAAAGCACAGCCTGCCACCTGCTGCTCTGTGGCCTCCTGCCTGTCTACCCAACCTCTCTGTGCCTCAGTTTCCTCATCTGTAAAACAGGGAAAATCAGGGGACCCTCCGCAGAGGCCAATGTGGGAATTAAATGAGCAACTTCATATAAAAAACTGAAACCAGTGCCCAGCACACACTGCGCACCCACCCTCAGCTCTGTTTAAGAACATTGACCATGTGCTGGTGCCACGCCTGCCTCTCCCGCCACGGCTGGGCTCTGCCGGCTGCAGCTAGGCCCCACTGTGATGAGAAGGTCCGCACTCCCTAGGTCCCACCGAGCCCTGCAGGGACCTGCATCACTACCAGTTTCTGATGAACAAATCCAAGCCCAGTGAGGCCAGGCCTGACCTGTCTCCCGACCCGGTCAGCCCGTCCTGTTCCACCCCAACTCACAATCACTCCCCTCCCCTCAGAGGGCCCAGACAGAGGCCACGCCAGATGCACTGGGTACATCCAGTGACAGAAAGTAAGGAGGCACCCCAGAAATGATGGCCAGCCCATCAGCAGGACACAGGGGCCGACCAGACACGAGTTTGTTCACTGAATGAAGTGGGGGGGCCTTTCTGCAGTCCTTAAAGTCAGGAGAGTTCGAGGAGGAAGGGGATCTGTGTGTCCTTTCCAAGTGCCACCCCAGAAGCAGGTGTTAATCACAAGCGGGAAAGACCCTGCCAGGTGCAGCCTGGAGGACCAGCCGCCCTGGGGAACCACCAGTCTGGACCCATACACAGGACCTGCTCCTGACTGGAGGGGCTTGAAGACACCCAAACGTGAGGGTGATTCTGAGGGACCCTAACTACTGAGAAACCTGCTGGGACCACCAGCTAACCCACCAGGATGGTGCGGAAGCAGGGAGCATCCCAGTTGCTAGGAAACGGATATTGTCAGTTGTGAGTCAGACACATCCTCAATAGTTCAAAATGAACTGTGTTGTATGTCCCACCTTAACTCTGTGGTTGCCCCCGCCCCCCGCAAATGCTTAAAAATCAACCCTCCATGAAAACAAAACTAACCTCATCACTTCAAAACCCTGGTTCCAACTGAAACCCAGCCCCCTCCTCTTTTTTTTAAATTACGTTTTTAATGAAGATACTGGGGATTGAACCCAGGACCTCAAGCATGCTAAGCTCATGTTGTACCTCTGAGCTATACCCTCCCCCCCCAAACCCAGCTCTTAAACCCACTTCTGTCTCATTCACCTATTCATCTGATTCTGAAGTGCCTACTCAGTCCAGGGACACAGCCCTGACCTCCACACCCACGTCCTGGGCTCAACCTCCATAGGAGTGCAGGGCCATCTGAGAAAGCCCAGAGCAGGGCTTGACTGGGCTCCACATGGGGGCTGACCTGGAGGGAAGCCCCCAGGTTCAGGCCCTTCACAGCCCCAGCTTTACGTAATCCAAATGACCAGGGACAACACAGGACTCAGCAAGGATAGCCAGTAAGTATAAGTGCCCTCCCAGTGTTCAGAGCCTGGTCCACATTACAGACCCACCTTTAATCCCCTGCACCCCCAGTACCACCCTCACCCAAAGCAGGCTGGCCACGGCACAAGAAGGTCCCACCACCAGACACCTAGAGATGCAGCCAAATGCCCCACTGACCCCCTAGCTGGGCAAGACTGACCAGAGAGAAGGGACACAACCCCTCTTTGAAAAATGCTGCCAGGGAGGTGAGCTCCACCGCAGGCTCAGTGGTTGGCTGGCCTCTCTGACCCCATCACACCTCCAGGCCCTCCCTCACTGCTAGTTTCCATTCAGTGGGGGCCCCAAATGGACAATGAAAGGGGCCAGAAGCTGAGGTCCTGTGTTTCCTGTTCTGCTGTTCTGCCCAGCAAGCTGGGTCACTCGGGCTGACAGGACCGGCTTCTGCACTGAATCATGACACACCCGCATGGCTGGGCTCAGCAGAACGAGGACAGAAAGGCCCAGATGGACTGGATAGTTTTCCTACAATTAAAACAGTACCTTCACTTTAAAATTAAACTTTTAAGGCTACTTCTGAAGACTCATGGAGGACACGGCCTTCTGGTCAGGAGAACACCCTTCCTCATCACCCACTTGACACTAAACCCACAGGCAACGCCCAAGGCCCCTGAGTCCATCCATCAGTAAATAAAAACAAAAAAGCCAGTTGCTCTCCTGGCCTGAAACATCCTCTGTAATCCAGCCAGTGGGGTTTCAGTCAGGTTAAAAACAGCAGAGGGCCGGGCACTGCTGGGATGGCGATGTGAGGTTCCCTGCACACTCTCTCCCCAGCAAAGTGAGCCTCACTGCTGTGCATTATAAAAAAATGACCATTTTAAAGTTCTGGGACGTGTCCTAAGGGCATATAGCAATGAAGAAACATCTATTTAGGAAAAGAGCCTTGAGACCTGGCCTGATGCCTCCCCCAACCCGTGTGATGAAAGCACCCCTCCAAAGGGGGAGCCAAGAGGGACCCCTCGCCCCAGCTCCCAGTGCAGGGTGATGGCTTCTCCCCAGGAGCAGCAGATAGAGAACACCATTCCTGCCTCAGCACATTCATAGGGTGGAGGCTCCACACCAGAAGGGGATGCGAAGAAGGCCAGGGGCTACAATCCCCAGTGCCTGCACTTAAAGCAGTGGTGTTGTCCCAAGGAAGGCCACTGCTGCCCGGCCTCCAGCTCCAGGGCGCGAGTTCAAAGGCTCTACCCTGGCAGTGGGGACGTGCAAACAGAGAGCCCTCCAGCCCTCCCTAAAGAGGGTACCTTGCTTGGAACAGAGCATGGGCAGGTTCAAGCCTAAAGACACAGAAAAAAAGTGGGTAACTTGGCAGTGGAGGAACAGAGAGGAAGTTGGCAGCCCCATGATAACAACAGGGAACAGACCCAGAGCTTATCAGGGAGAGGCAGCTGGATGAGCCTGCTGCGACCAGCAGCTGTCAGGACCTGCCTCAGACTGCCCCGCCTGACTGTAAGGACCTTACCTCAGAGCTGGGCAGGCCTGGGCTGCTATCAAAACCAGTGGAGCAATCAGCTATTAATCGGTGGTGACAGACCACTGGCAAGACAGCTGGTCCACATACAGCCAGAGGGAGGAGTGGTCCCAGGAGGGCACCCATCTAGCCAAGTCACTAAATACACAAACAAGCAAACACCCCCCCCAACCATGGGGGGGGGGCAGTATCCAGAGTTCTTACAATATTTTACCTAAAATAGCCAGTTTTCAACAAAACATTTGGGGAGATGAAAGAAACAGGAAAGTGATCCACACACAGAAGAAAAAAGGAAACAAACTGCTTTTGAAAAGGCACAGCCATTAACTTAGCAGAAAAGACTTCAAAGCAACTATTATAAATATGTTCAAAGAACTAACAGAAACTGTACGTAAAGAAGTAAAAGAATTTACTGACAATGTCTTATCAAATATAGAATATCAATAAAGAGATAGCAGTTATTAAAAAGAGCCAAATGAAAATTCCAAAAATTTCCAATAATATTGAAAAACCCAATAACTGAAATAAAAATGCACTTTAGGGGCTCAACAATAGGTTCAAACTGGCAGAAGAATTAGTAAACTTGAGGACAGATCAACAAAGACTACATGGTCAGAAGGGCAGTAAGGAAGTACAGTTCAGAAAATCGAGCAGAGCCTCAGAGGAGCAAGGGACCAGCACGTGTGAGGGGCGTCCCGAAGGAGGGGAGAAGGGAGCAGGAGAGCAGTCAAAGCAGTGGTGGCTGAAAGCTTCCCAGACTTGATGATCTGCACACCCAGGACGGTCAACCTCCTCCGAAAAGAATAAATACAAAGAGACCCACACCCTCCCTCACTTTAGTCCAAATGTCGAACGCCAAAAGAAAGACCAACTCTTAAAATGAGCAAGAGAAAATGACTCACGAATTCAAAACACTGAAAAGAAACTGCCAACCAAGATTCTTACATCCAGCAAAACTTTTTTAAAAATAAGGGCAAAATAAAGACATTCCCAGGTAAACAAGACTGGGGGAATTCCTTGTTAGCAGACCCAGCTTACAGGGAATACTAAAAATAACTTCCTTATGCTGAAAGCAAGGGACATCAGGCACTACTTCTAACTCACATGAGAAAACAAAGAGCACAGGCAGAGGTAACTATATAAGACAGTGTGAGTGCACATTTTCTCTTTCCCTCTCTTAACTGATTAAAAACTTAAGTTTCTGTAAATGTGAAATAGGTTCTAATAAGATGCATACCGTAAGCCTTAGATAAATCACTAAGAGAATAATATAATTTAATGAGATATGATATAATATAATAGAATGTAATATAATATAATGATATATATATATTTAAAGTTCATTAAAGGAACTAAAATATTACACTAGAAAACATTCACTTAATACAGTAGAAACCAGTAAAGAAGGAAGAGTTGGGGGGGGGGAAAGACATGAGGATGCATAGAAAACAAAAAGTGAAATGGCAGACATAATGGCAAACATAATAACATTAAATGTGAATGAATTAAACAATCCAATCAAAGAGCAGAATTGCCAGAATGAATTTTTTTTAAAGATCCACTCTGTGCTGTCTACAGGAGATGTACTTTAGATTCAAAGATACAAATAATTTAAAAGTAAAATAGAAAAAGATGTATCATACAAACAGCGACCATACGAGATCTGCAGTAGCTACACTACTATCAGAAAAAAATAGACTTTAAAACAACAACAAAAAATGACTAGACATAAAGGGAAACTTTATAATAAGAGGACCAATCTGCCCATAAGCTAAAACTATAAACATATATGCACCTAACAACAGTGCCCCAAAATACAGGAAGCAAAAACTGACAGAAGTGAAAAGAGAAACAAATAATCCAAAAATAGCTGCAGACTTCAGTGCACACTTCTAGTAATGGACATGGCAGCGAGACAGAGGACTGGGGAAAGGACGACTCGCACAGCTCTGCAAAATCAGACACATGGCCCTCCACCTGCAGCAGGCAGCAGCAGAACACGCGTTCTCTCAAGTGCGCGTGGGACGTTCTCCAGGACAGCCCCTCCACCAGACCATCCAACAAGCCTTCATTCAAAATGGCTGGAATAATACAAAGTATGTTCTCCAACTACAGTGGAATTAAAGCAGAAATCAATTACAGAAGAACATCTGGGGAATTCATAAACGTGTGGAAATTAAACAACACACTCACAAACAGCAAATCAGTCAAAGAAGAAATTCTGAAGGAAACTTAAAAATATTTTAAGACCAATGAAAACAATATACAACATACCAAAATGTATAGGATGCAGCTAAAGCATTCCTTAGAAGGAAATTATGGCTGTAAATGCTGTATTACAAAAGAAGAAAGAAAAAATAAATCAATAACTTAACTTTCTAGCATAAGAAACTAAGAAAAGAGCAAACTAAACCCAAAATAGGCAGAAGGGAAGAAATAAATACTAGAGTGGAAATAAATAAACTAGAGAATAGAAAAACAATAGAGAAAATCAACAAAACCAAAAGTAGGTTCTTTGAGAAAAATCAATTAACTGGACAAACCCTTACCTGGAAGAACCAAAACCAAAAGGAGGGTGAGAAAGAGAGGAAACTCAGATGACTGAAGCCAAGAATACACGTATGCATGTGTGTGGCTGGGACAGTGTGCGGCACCCCAGAAACGGACACACTGTAACTGATGGTACTTCCGTTAAAAAATAAAAAAGAATTAAAGAGGGACTGTTCCTACCAACTCCACAGAAATTAAAAGGATTGAAAGGGAACACCAAGAAGAACTGTGTGCCAACAAATTAAACAACAGACTAACTGGACAAACTCCAAGAAAGAATTTCTATTGAAACGAACTCAGGAATAAACAGAAAATCAGAATAGATTTGTAACAAGCAGAAGACTGAATCAGTAATTCTAAAACTTCCTGCAAAAAGCCCAGGCTTGGAAGGCTTCACCAGACAATCCTGCCCAACACGTAAAGAACTGATAAACTGGCAACAAGTAGTAAATAAGCCCAGAGATTAATGCACAGCATAGAGAATACAGACAGCAACAGTGTATTGTAACCGCCAAACTTGCTGAGAGACTAAAAGTAATTATTCCAACCACTAAAAAAAAGATAATGTAACATGACACATGCTAACTCTGTGTTACCATACCACAATATTCATGTATCAAACTAACATGTGGTACACCGTAAATTTGTACAATGTTGTATTCAAATACATTTCAACTTAAAAATTTTTAATTAATGAAGAATTGATAGCCATCCTTCACAAACTCTTCCCAAAAAACCAGAAGAGGAACACTTCCCATGCCCCACTTCTAAGGCTATAGCACTATCCTGGTACTGAAACCAGTCATCGCAAGAAGAAACACAGACCAAATTCCTCATGAATATGGACATGAAAGCCTCAGCCGAGTATTAGCACCTGATAGAAACGGTTCTACAGCATGATCAGATGAGGCCGATCCCAAAAATGCAAGGCTGGTTCAGCACACAAAAATCCATCATCAACGCAATACACCAGAATAGCAGAATAAAGCACAAAAACAACATGATCATCTCAACACACACAAAAAGCACTTGACAAACAAATATCCTCTCAAGGTAAAAAGAAAACTCAAGTTCAGAACAGAAGGGCACTTGCTTAACCTAAAAAGGGGCACCTACGCACACCCACGCTGACATCGTTCTTAATGGGACTAAATGCCTTCTCACTATAAGCAGGGGCGAGACAAGCACACCGACGCCCACTCCCGCCCGGGGAGTGAGGCAGGAAAAGGAAGCGAACACACCCAGACTGGAAAGCAAGAAGTAAAACCGCCTACCCGCAGACGACGCATCTTGCACGTAGAAAAGCTTCAAGTGTCCACTAAAACGCTACTAGGATAAATGAGATCAGCAAAGCTGCAGGACACAAGATCAACATGTGAAAATCAGTTTTATTTCTACAAAGAATCAATGAAGAATCCACAGTGAAATTAAGAAAACAATTCCATTTACCATAGAAGCAAAAAGAATAAAATACTTTGGAATAAATTTAACAAAAGAATTTCAAAACTTGTGTTTTGATCATTCTTTCCTCCTTTCTTTCTGCCTGTCTGCGCCCCTCCCTCCCCTCCCCCACCTCACCCCTACACACACACAGTAAAAAGGGCAGGTTTCTAGGTGCTACTTCATGCTTGGAAACAGCAGGCTGTGGCTGGTTAGCTCGCAGGAGACGTGGCCACACTGGGTGAACGGTGCATGTGCACGAGGGCAATGCGGACACAGGTGGAAGCGATGACAAGGGAGACAGAGCTGCAAAGGATGAGAGGGCCAAACGTGCCAGTGGGCGACCTCATGCAGCGTGGTACCTACCCAGATATGACCGCCTGGGGGGGGCTTTGACTTCTTCATCTTTATTATCTGCAGCTACATTTAAAAAGACAGAGAGAAAAAACAGAAAGGAAGAAGAGACAAAAACAGACTGGTTTTAACATGGTAAGTCCTTGTTGTGTTTCTCTTTTAAAAGACCACCGGGACAGAAAGACCACAGGACTTTGGCTTCTGTGTGTTAGGACTTTCTGAACCATCTTTCTCCAAACCAACCCTCCTCCAAAGTAGGTGCTCAGGGCAGGGGTAAAAGGAAAAGTTACCACATTTTCATTGACTTTCTAAGGTCAGAGGCCCTGTGCTGACAGAGATACAGCAGACCCTGCCTCTGCGTCCCCCTGGAAACTCTGTGTGCAAGTCCTGGTTGCAATACAGCTGTCCCGGGCTCACAGCTCTTCACAAGGTTGCTCGATAAAGCGGTTTCCAGAGGGCACTCAATGGAACACCCACCGTAAAAGGAGAGCCAGCGCAGCACATGAACTTGACAGCACGTGGCTGAGGCAAGGCCACATCACACTGAGTCAGGGAGAGTGTCTGGCAGCTGTCTCTGTGTGACAATGTGATTCCCAGGCACCTTCCCCTGCCCCCCTTCACCGCCCACCCAGCACCCCACCCCCACCTGAGACCTCCCTAGTCTGGGCCCCTGTGACAGCGACCCGAGGCCCTGGAAGATGCAGCCAGAGTGTCTCAGGTGCCGTCTGCCTGCCGGAGGGGTCTCGGGTGGAGGGCAGCTACAAAGAAGTGACTGAGGTCAGGAAGCAGGGTGGAATCAAAGGTCGTGTGCCACCTGCCCTGGGCAATGTAGACTCTACTTCAAAAAGGGAAATTTTGCAAGTAAACAGCTAAAAGCAAACACCAGAGCTGCTGCCTGGACCTGGGGACAGCGGATGCTGCGCAGGAGGGGCTGGGAAGGCTTTAAAACCAACAAATTGCAGTCTCCTCTCCATACCCCCTCCCTCCCCAGCAACATCCTGGACCATCTAGGTTCTGGCTACCCCAGACTTGGTCAGATTTCCTCAGCTTTTTGCTTCTATTTGATTCAGACCAATTTCACCATTCATTGGCACCTCCTCTAAAGACCAAGGTCCCAAAGGAGGGAGGGCGGGGGGAGGGGAGGGAGGGGAGGCAGGGGAGGGGAGGGGGCACCAGAGGTGGGGAGGTCAGGTGCAGAGGAGGCACTCAGCTCAGCTCCCAGTGCAGCTCAGGCACAGGTCCCCTCCACTTCTGTGGGCTCATCCTGCTAAGCCGACATGAGCCAGACTTCTGAGCCAGACCTCCGGGCACGCAGGGCCGGCGCACAGCAGCGTGAGGCTGCAGCACCGCGGGGTCAGCAGACACACATTCTGGTGGGGGCGGCAGGCAGCAGGCCGGGTAAGTAGGCTCCAGGTGGGAAGATCACATCTCATAGCGGGCCCTCCCCTGTGCACAGCATCAAGGCGCCCAAGGGTTCCTGGCTGGAAAGCAACATGCTTAGATCTACATTTTAGAAAGACAGCTTCCTGCAGGGCTGACTGGAGGAAGGTGAGTTCTGAAGCCAAGAGACACAAGAAGTGCTTTCAACAACCATGTCCTTGATAGGTCTGTGCTGCGCACGTACTCCTGGCTAGGCACTGACGCTCAAAAATGGCCCTAGCAACACTTCCAGGCCCACGTTGTCCTCAGAACTCCCCCTCCCTGCCACCTGTAGGCAGTGTCTCTGCCCCTGGACTTTGGGGCCTGTGGGGGCTCCAGCCTACAGAAGCAATGCTACATGATTTCAAGGCTAGGTCTTTAAAAAGATACAGCTCCACCCAGCTCTCCCTCCCCTGAATCCGGGTGCCACGTCGTGAGGAAGCCCAGGCCATGTGAGGAGGCCACATGAGGACGTGCTGGCAAAGCCGGCTGAGGTCCAGCCGATGGTCAGCTCCAGCCCAGACACATGAGCAAGGAGTGAGGGGCAGTGGGGGTGCTCGAGCAAATGGCCCAGGCTGCAGAGTCACCAGCAAAAATGTCCTTTCAAGCCACCACGTTTTGGGGTCACCTGCGGAGCAGCCACAGAGACTGGGACCACAGATAACAAGGCAGAAGTTTCGGCAGAGCTGAGACAGGAGGGTCAGTCCCTCTGGGTGGCCAGAGGCCAGGACAGGGCCAGGAGAGAGGGCTGGCTGGTGACAAGAGGCAGACCGTCAACTGCTCCTGGGGGCTTTCAATCCTCCCCAGGGGCTGAGATTCACTGCTGTGGGCACCTAAAGAAAAGTTTGCCTTAGAGACCACCTGGGGGCAACAGTGCATGAGGGTGGTGGAGGGGACGATTGTTACAGGTGGGACGGAGGACGAGCAGGGGACAGGAGGCGTGATTACAGAGTTCCAGGCAACATGGACATAGGAGACCCTACGCCACTGCCAGGCAGTAGGCAGGACTGATACAGAGTTCATAACCTGATGTCCGAGGACACCAGTAATCCCTGGAGATGCAGAATGGTTTCTGGAATGGTTCCTGGGGAGGGGGGTCCTCCGCGTTCATTCTCATGTTGGCATGTGACTGCGTGACCCCCTCCCCCGCCCAACATTCTTTACAGCTTTACTGAGATGCAAACACATACCACAGAAAGTTCACCCTTTTCATGGTTTTCAGTACATTCACAGAGCCGTGCAACCACTACCACCGTGGAATTTCAGAACATTTTCATCACCCTGCAAAGAAACTGACCCCCGGCAGCAGTCACCCACCTCCCCAGCCAATTCTGTCAGAGTGTTTACTGAGATTTGGCACAAATGTCAAATAAATTCAACCACCTGAGCTTGAGGCTCAGACAATTATTTTTTTCCCAAATAAAATGGGACAAATGAACCCACGCATGTATCCAGGTGCAGCACAGGGTCTGATGGGAGGACTGTGTGACCCTGAGGACCCCCAACAAAACAGCTTCTCAGTAGCCTTGTGGTCGGCACTGGCCTCATCTAGGACCTGCTGTGAGCGGTAAAGGAAGCAGGTGGTGACAATGTTCTGTTATTCTTCGGTCCTTAGCAGCGGGGCTGGGGGGTGGATCAGAGCCGCGATAAGGGCACCACGAAGGGTCATCTCCCATAAAACCTCCCTGCTCCGCCCACAAGGAAAACTACAAACAACGCCTGACCCAACAGCCATGCCAGGGCCCAGACTGGGTCCTCCAGATGCCACAGACCAGCCAGGTTCCTCGGAGCAATGGCTGATTCCAGGTTTGGGGCAGGAACTGGACGGCAGGGACTGGATGGAAAGCTCAGAGCTCCTCACCACACCAGGGTCAAGGGCCAGTGAGACTGCTGTGCTGAGCCAGGAGGTCAAGAGCCGACTGAAGGGGCTCCTGCCGGCCGAAGGGACAATGGGGCCCCAACCAAGTGAGCACAGCAAAGCTCACATGCATGTGCTCAGGACGACATAGAAACAAACGTGCTCACTGCCGCAAGATGCTGGGAACCAGTTCTGAAAATTAGCAAATAAAGAGAAACAAGCAAGGGTTTACCTGCCTACCCCTCCCAAACCTTAGTGCTGGGTAACCGAGCAGCATCTGTGGGGAAGTCTCTGCAGAGAAGCAAAGGCGGACAGGGCATCATGCTCTGTGGCCGTGACTGATGGGCCCGGCAGCAGGTACCATGGCTGCTACCATCCAGAGGCCAGCTCACAGCCGTGCCTCCTGGAGGAGGAACACAGCTGTCCTGTGAAAACAAAAGACCAAACCTGGATCCGATTATCTTTTTAAAATGTTCTCTACAGAGCATCCCAGACAGAAGCGGCTCAGCAGCCTGATGACGTCTAGATTCTGCGTCTCTAACTCACCGTGCACACGCTGTTCCTGGCCCACTGACCACAGTGCAGTGCAAACAACACAGTTTCAACAACAGATACATTCCGAGGAAAAAGAAGTTGAGAGCCTTTGGACTAAAAAGACAAGTCAATAATAGCAAAAAGTCACGGAGTGCGACCTGTAACGGGATCCTGATTTAAGGAAACAAACTAGCCAAAAGGTTAGGAAATGGATGATACGGTTAGAAACTCACGCAGAACCATGGATTTCTTATGGGTGGTGATGGTATAAAGCCTTATCTTTTAGAGATACATTATAAACTATCTACAAATAGAAAACGTCTGGGACTTGCTTCAGAAACAGCAGAAAGAGGATGTGAGCGGGGTCCGGGGTAACTGCAGGGGGTTCCTGGGCACACATGGAGCTCCATTCCGCTCTGCCTACTTCTGTGTGTTAGAAACTCTCCGCAGTGAAAGGTGAAACGGAGATGCAGCCCCTTCAAGGAAGGCGCCTGACCTCACTCCTGGTCCACAGCCCTTCCCCCTGGTCTCCACAGCACCACCCACCTGGGCATCCCAGGAGGGACCCGCCCCCAGCCCCGCCTCCATAGACACAAGGGCACACAAGCTGCAGTGGAATGAGAGGTTTTAAAACACCCGATCCTAACTTTGAAAACGATCCAAGTTTTGTGATAGGAGACTGCCTGGAAAAGAAAAAACCGGAAAAATACACCAAGAAGTTCAGAGCAGTCACCTCAGGCAGTGGGACAGAAGCTTTCAGTTCTCTCTGCACCCCTCTGTCTTCCCCACAACGTCTGCGATGAGGGTGTGCTGCTCCTCGTAGTAAGATAACAAACTGGATGTGTAAATTTTTAAATAACTGCTTTTCCTTCTTAATACCATCTACGTTTCTTTAACCTTAACTTTCAAGTTTGATGACCTTCAAAATTGAAAACCTCTATAAAACATGGGGGAGAACACTTGAGCTCTTTCTCCAGGCTGCCTGACCGTCCAACGAGAACACTGAGAACAGGGCTATTCAAAAGTTTCTTCTTGAGTTATTTTAACGTACACGGCCAGTTTGCCAGCAAGTCTGCCTCCAGAGGCCGGGCATCCTCCCCAGGGGCTCAGCGCAAACCTCCAGGGAGCGGAGGCCGGCCACCTGCCCGGGGCTCTCAGAGCTTCCTGGCCTGCGCTGCTGGGCTTTCCACAGCCCACCTGCCCACTGCTGGCACATGAGAGGAAACAAACCCACATGTGTCATTAAAACCTTCCCCTGGGAAGATGCCGGGCCCTGGGTATCTCAAACATAGCAAACGCAAAAATAAATAAATCTGATCTGGACTCAAGTATTAAAACGTGCCAACTATGAGAATCTCAAGAATTCTCAAACTCTCAGCTGGTGTGAGGGGACCAGGAGCAGGGATAGTTTAGAGAGGATTCTCCCCGAGGCCACAGCGCAGCGGGCCCTAGAGTCCTGCATCCAACACCAGAGCAACAGCACAGAGCGGCGTAGGCTGAGGAGGGCCACCGCCATGAGCGGCCATTAAATATTAAATGTTAAATATTAACCCTAGTCTGCTGCATGACCTGGAGGCCCCACACCTGCTATATCTGGCATCACACATCATCACTGCCCACACGATTTCAGACAAGGTCACCAGCCCCGTCTCACGTTGCCGGGCCCAAGGCAGAGGAACAGGAAGCAACCAGGCCATGGAGTCCTCTCCAGGCCTTTCTTCCTTCCCTGGTGGGGGATGAACGTCACCAATCACCCCACGCTGCCCACTCTGCAGGCGGCTACGAGATTCTGCGCCAAATTAAAGGTGAGGTTCACAGGGCACAGATCGCAGAGGACGGGGCAGGGACTGTCGAGCAGAAAGCCCTCAACCTGGAGAAAATTAAGAGCCAGCTCTTCCCCTTGTAAGGGATCCAGGCCACAGAAGCCCTGCTGTCCAGGCGACAGAACCAGCATGAGCTCTGGTGTGATCGCCCAAATGACAGCTGGGAGGACGGCCTCACTGGGAAGGAAAAACAGAAACACACCAGAAGCAGACAGTGGACAACACTCTGCAGTCTGAGTGACACTGACTGGTCTCGGCTGCTCATCAGAGCCGGAGGCCGGCCTATTTTCTAGAAAGACTGAAATCAGCATACACTCGAGTCCCTCTGAAAACAGAAGCCACACAAGAGGACTTGCCCAGGGAAAGAGAATAACCATCAGGAATAAAAAGGGCAGGGCAAGGCCTCAAGCCCGCACGGGTCCCAGATCTAAACAGACTCTGGAGAAAACGCTTCTCTAAGCAACAGCGGAGACTGAACACACACACTCAGACGAAGTCAAGGTGAGAGCTCAGATCTAGTGACTAGAAGACTCAGAAGCGCAGCACCAGCCCCCCAGCCAGAGAAGCCACCAGCCTGCACCTCCGACAGTCTCAGCTTGGAGGGAGTGTTTCAGAAGAAAAGGCAAAAACAGGACAAGTATTTCTACCTTTTGAGCCTCCAAAAAGCAGCATGGGCTGAGCACAGGATGCGTCCCACCGTTGCTCATGGACCCCACGCGCCCATCCAGGGCCTGCAAAGCATGACTGCAGGTGAATGTTTAACCAGGTATGTGAGAAAGTCCCAGATAACTCAGCCTCGGGGGAGTGGAAAATGGGAAGGCTGTGTTGTGTGTGACAAGGTCAGAGATAAAGCTGCCCTGGCAGGATGCACCGTCTCCGCCTCGTCCAGGCAGACAGAGACCAGCAGATGCATCTCCCACCGCGACTCAGCACCCACCGTGACAGCAGTCACAGGGAAGGCTGCGTCATGAACAGTTAATAGTTCGCCCAAGTTCCAGTGAAAAACTACCGCCTGCAAGTGTCTCACAAAATACAGTGTTGAGTTCAAGTCACTGAACGCACTGAAAACACCGGCATCGGTGACAGACACCAGCACCACTTAGTGAAACAAAAACCACCCAGTTGACGTTGGACTGAGGCCACGCCGGCTCCTAGGAAGCCCGGCGGAGCTCTCCTGCTGAGTCACTGGCCTTTACTGCCAAAGCTCTCTTGCCCACCTGCGAAGACGCGGCGTTTCAGGTTCAGCTCGTTGGCCGTGCGGACCTCGGTGCAGAGCTTCAGCATCAGCAGCATGGTCATGATCATGATCACGCTCTGCCAGAGCAGCGGTGACTCAAAATGCCTCCCAAACCTGTGAGAGCAGAAGTCACAGCGTCAGGACGGTGCCGACACCCACCTCTGCCTGCTCAGGCCTCAGCCAGGCCCCCACAGCCACATCCTGAGCAGCTCCCGGGAATGCAGCCCCTGGCCTCCCAGGCCTTTTCTCTCTTCCCTGTGGACAAATCTGAGGTGGGACAGAGCTGGAATGGGAGGGGCTGGGGGTACCCCTGGATGGCCAGATGGGGGCGAGCACCACCTCGGCCCAGAGAGCCCTGGGAATCACGTGCAGAGCTTCCCCCAATGCTGCTGGGACTCTCCCAGGGACACTGACAGGGTGTGAGAGGGTCTCCTGAGCCACCTCCAGCATGGCCAGATGTCCAGCACCCTCCTGCAGAGGCCCAGCCACAGCCAGGTTCTAGACCATCTGTTTACCAGGAAGCCTTGTTCCAGAGTTCAGGGAACAGCAGCAGCCCTGCCTCCTGCCTGCAGGGAGAGGAGTCTCTGGGCCAGAACAGCCCAAAGTGTGAGCAGGGGAGCAGGGCCAGGCACCAAATTTCCACTTACCCCTTAGCAGAGAAGGCAGCAGCCCCCACCCTGAGCCTACATCCCTGACCCCCACCCAGGCCTCTTCTCCGAGCCCTGCCCCACCTGCCTCTCTGAGCTCCAGGCCCCCAGGTCCCCAGGCCCCCAGGCCCCCAGGCCTTCCCGCTGACTTTTTTCCAGTGTGTTGAGCATCTCACCGACTCAACAAAAAGCTTCTGGAGGCCAGAACCACAATCCAGTGACTGGCACCAGCTGGGCTCATCAGCAGACCCCAGACCCCAGACTCCAGGGGCTGACAACAGCACCCACCATCTTCCACGCACCGGCTGTGGAGCTGTGACATGCAATCCAGGCCAGCCACAAGCACAGCGCCCGTCAAAGCCCAGGCCTCAATTCTAGCCTGGCAGTTCTAGAGCAGAGACCCCCGGACAAGCTGCAGTGTGGTCTGACACATGCTTCCCAAACCTGAGCTGGTGGCCGAAAGGTCAAAGTTGGGAGGCCCTGGATGGCAGTCAGATCTCCCGGCTTCTCCTGGACAGGAGACATGGAAACAACCACCCAGCTCCCCTCCCTGTTTGCCTCTCTCTCTTCACCTGTCCCTCCAAGGAGAGGGTCACTGAGAGTTGGCCACTGGGGCCATGCAGTGCTCTGCCACAGGCTGCACTGTGACCCACCACCTCCCAGCTTCATCTCTTCTGTAAAGTGTAGCTACAACCCCTATGGCTGTCTGAGGACATTTCTAGCCAATTCTAGAAACTGGTCCCCACTGGTCACCTAGCTGACCTTACGGGCTGACTTATCCACAGGTGAAAGTCAGAGGAGACAGAGAAGGTTCCATGTCAGGTTGGGGAGACTGGAGCAGGTGAGCATCACAATAACCAATTACTCTACGGGTCCCCACACCATGCTCACACCAGTTAGTTGCAAGGCTGAAGACAAGCAGTTTTGGCCATTGTGTAACAAATGCCACTTCTGGCATCTTAAATGTTCAACAGAAACAATGAGTGACCAGAAAAACTGTGGGAGAAAGTATCAAGGTTTGTGCTTCCCTTATACTGTGCACCAAAAGTCAAATCTAGGTGAACTCAATATTTACAGGAAAAAAGGCATTTAAAGTGAAGCGAGAGAGGACAGGTGAACGTTTAATGCCTTTAGGGTAAAGACAGGTTAAACAAGATATTCCAAAAAGCACTTTTCACGAAAGATATACAAGTGACAAGATAACTAGGAAACAAAGTTCAATGTCACTAGTAATTTTTAAAAGCTAATTAACTTTAAAAGATACTATTTTTTACTTAAATTAGTTCAGCTTCTTCCTTCAATGCTAACAGTCTGCACTGGCATGGATGTCACAGAGCACTTTCTCTCCTGCCCTGAGAACACGGTTGGCAAAGCTCTTCTGCTGCAAACGATGGAGCAGCCCCCTGGACAGCATGGGGCCTGGGGCTCAGAAGGGCCAGTCTAAGAGATTCTCCCTTGGTGGCAGCGCACTGTCTGGCTCCCAGGGAGATGCACACTACAGAGAATGTGCCGCGTTCCACCAAGCCTGAGCCAAAGTTTCTACAGGGACCACCTTCTCCACCTCTTCAAAGCTCACATGGAAGCGAAGCTGTGCATCCACTTCCTTGTGAGAGATGGCCCTTCCCTGGCGACACAATGTCACTATATCCTGGATACAACTTTACTATGTCTCCAGTACAATGTCGCCACATCTCAGATACAATGTCACTGTACTTCTGATACAGTGTTGCCACATCCCTAGTACAAAGTTACCATATCTCTGATCCGCTGTTTTCATCATACAGGGACGGGAACTCTTAGTGAATACATGTGGCTCTGGGTCAGAATACCCTGTGGCACTGTCCTCACACCCTGGCCCCCTCTGCTTCTCCTTACAAAATCGCTTAGCCCTTCTCCTGGCCCCACAAAGGCCAGATCCTGCACATCAGCATTTATATGATCTGCTGAATGCTGATTCTGCAAAAGGATGGTAAGGACTGTAAGAAACAAAGACATTAGTTTCACAAGTTTCAGAAAACCTGGGATTTCCACAGATTGGTCAGCCCCTCCTGCAGTCCTGCAGAGCCACTTATGTGCCTTGCACCCCAACTCTCCACGGGGCTCCCCAGGCAGGCTGGGGTTCTGAGGACTGCATTGCTGGCCAGCCTTGGGAAACAAACTCTTCATTTCTTCCAACTCCAGCACTGTTCTAGTGCAGATCCAGCTCCCGTCCCACCTGAAACCCACCACAGCCCCCCCTCACCCACCACAACCCATGTATATGCATCTGGTACGTTCCATACAGCACTTCTGCTAAAGTATTAACCCTGCAGCGTCTGGCCCAGTGTTTGTCTCATGGGAAACCTTCAAAAACCTATTAAATCAAGTGGGCTGCTAATCTATGAAGCCTGGAGGGACCCAGGAGTGGGGGCTTCAGAAGCTCCAGAGAGAGGAACAAAGGGGAGCAGTGCATCAGCCTCAGAGCAGTGGGATTTGAGGACCAGCTGGGCAGAGAGGTGCACATTTGTCACAAGTCATAGACGGAGCCCTGATTTCTGCTGGGCTTTACCACGCAAGCCCTGCCAGGTATGAAGTGCGGGGAAACGCATCCCAGGTCAGAGAGACCCTCGAGAAGAGGCCAGCACCCTCCGCCAGCCCTCCCTTCATCCCCAAAATTCTACAGGTTTGTGGAATCCTGGCTGAAGCCCTGTGTCTTCGCACGGTAGCCATTGAACACCAACTCCACGGGAAAGGAGCAATCGGATATGCAGACATAGGCGTGCCAGTGGACACAGTTTAGAATTCCACCAAAGGAATTTCTCAAAGTCTCAGGCCCTGCAGTGGAGAGAGAACTCCAGGTCCAAACGCCTTAAGTGCCAGTTCAGCCCAGAAGCACTGATGCGATGGCACTCAAAAAACTGGTTTAATTTCTCATCAGATATTTACATGTAAATTAGATATTCTATTTTCTTTTTGCAATTTTAAATGATAAGCATATTGGAGGGAAAGATCTCTCAAGGGAGCTATTTTCCCATAAAGTAATCCAACCTCAGGCAATCCTCCTCCAACAGAAAACTTCCCACAGCCTAAGGGAGACATGCTTCCCAACCTAATACCCTGAGCCTGGGCTGGGAGCTCCTGGGGCAACCCCCACCCCCCACCGGCGTGCTCACCACACCCTAGCATGCTCAGGGTTAACAGCGGTGTTGCACACAATTATAGTTTGTGACCTGCTTCTGTTCAACCTGAGGCTTAATTACAGCCATCTGAGAAAAGGGAAGTGGCCCGGGAAAGGAGAAATCTTCAGTATGCTATTTTTCAACTTGTGCTAAACAAACAAACAAAAAAAGCGCCCTCCGACCCCTCGCTCAGAAGTAGACCAGCCCAGAGACAGGGCTCAGAGGACAAGTTCCCCCGGGCGGGGAGTCAGTTGACTCACCAGCTCACTTTCTAAAACCCCAAACCAGGCAAAAACCCCGAGCAGACTGAATGTGAAGGAGTCGAGAACTTCTGGACTCAGGACTCACACCCTGATGACCTCAGTGGAGACATCTACACAAATTCATCAAACGGCACACTTAGATTGGGTGGCTTTATTTCATGTAAATCATACCTCAGTAAAGCTGACAAAATCAATTAGCAAAAGAGCACAATTACTCAAATAGTGACCAAAAAATCAAAAGGAGGAGCCAGAAGCAGTGCTCTGGACACCAGCTGCCCAGAGCCCTTGTCCTCGCCCCTGCCCAGGCTGTCCTGTCACGCTGGGACTGTCTGAAAGGAAGGAAAGGTCCAGACTTTTCTGGCCTCAGAATGAGGCTACGAGACCTCTTCTCATTTCCTCTTAAACTGCACCCTCCCAATTATGTCTGGCTTCAACAATTGTTAAAATTACCTCCGAGTTCCTTACCAGAATGCAAATAGTAATAAGCGGAAGTTGGGCTGGAAGGAGGAAGAAAAAATAGTCTCTTAAGTATTACCCAGAAAGTTGACTTCCTACTTAAAAAGAAAACAGCACACACGACAGAGACGGCAGGAAGGACAGCCCTTTACGGCAACCCCTGAGCTCGCCTTCCTGCCGGGCTCAGGGGTCCCCTCCTGAGGGGCCTCCCTGCCCAGTGGGATGTCCTTCCCATGCTGATAACCACTGGCATCCCTCTGATCACTCCGTTCTCCCGCCCAGCCCCCATGTGAATTCCTGAGGGCAGGGACCCCGTCCTGGGACGAAGCCCCGCAGAGAAGGCTCTGGGAAAGTCTCCGATGAACGTATGGGCCCCACCAAATGAAGAAGCAGATCTGAGATTACGTGAGCTTCTTCACTCCAGTCCCACCATTTTCCCTGGGAAATAATCTCACCCAGTTCACCAGCTCCTTCCTAGGAAGTACAGACACTTCCGCCCCGCTGGCCTCACTCAGAAAAGGAAAAGGCCATCTCGCCGGGAGCACCCCCGCAACTTACCAGAAGAGTATCCGTAAAATATTGGCCACCAGGAGCACCAGACACACGTAGGTGGAGAAGCCCTCGGCGTTCTGAGTCCTCCGGATGTCCCTGTACTGCGGGATGTACGGCACAACCCCTCCGAAGACCATGGCCCCAGCCGCCCCCCAGGAAACCAGCTGGTGCAGCGGGACCAAAAGCCAATCCAAGCCTTCTGCTTCCATCCCGAACGCCTGTGTGGCCCTGCCGGCAGGCTGACGTCCACCTGGGCCAAGCGCCCTCCGCGCTCACAGGCTCCCGGCACGCGCGCTGTCACGCAACATGCCGCTGCTGCCCGGCGCAGTCCTCCTCCGTAGGAGCCTGGCGAGAGAGGGAAAGCGGTGAGGGACTCGGAACCCTCCTGGAGGCCGAGTGGGGCCGCGCTCGGCAGGACGCGCCCCGGGCGCACCGCGGGGCTCACGGCTGGGGGGCCA